CCTCCACACAGAATCATCCTATTGGTTCACAAATTAAATAAAGGGTTCAGTTCGAAATTCCATGTGGGGTAGCCAGATCAACATACACCTGATGAAGGCCAGATGTCGCAACAGCCGAAACATGTTAACAACAAAGATGATGACAATAGCCCACATGTAAATAATAATAATGGATGTTTAGATTTTATGTGCTTCCATTGCATAGGCATTGGCTTTTGCACAGTTATGTTCTAAATAGGCAGAAAATTCAAATGTTTAGATCGTTTTTGTAAGAGAAAATATTGGCCATTTTCTGGCTATATGTCTTTGTTTATACCATCAAAGGAAGTAAGTACTTAAGCTGTTGGGTCTGCCCGGAAACTAAAGACTGTCAACACATTACCATTTTGTGCAGGAAATGAAGGATAATTTGTCGTTAAACCCGTTCATAGTCTGACAACAGAGGAAACGATCATGGCGGCAGACTCGCTAGGCAGAGGCATTAAAAAAGGTCAAGTTAAAATTTACTTGTCAATAAAAAAACACTAGGACAGAGATTCATAGCTCATTCTCGCAACAGTAAAGCAAAAAGTTGTAGATATACATATTGTACATGAGTACATAGCCTGACATGTTATATTAAATTAATTTTGATCTGAAGTTGTCACTGTATAATACTTGATTGATGTGCTTATATTCACCATGTTGACAAAGAAATTATGTCAAAAAAAAATATTTCTAAAATAAATACCTTTTTCATGATGAGACTACAGGTTTGTATGTGTATGTATAGGAACTAAACACACACATTTTTTATATATATATATATATATATATATATATATATATATATATATATATATATATAAGGGAGAGGAATGTGGTACATTTTGCCAAAAAAAATTGTGTCACAAAATTATGACCTTTTTATAAATTTTAGTCTTTCAACCTGTAAAATACCAAATTTGTGTTACTTTGCCAATGATGAATTCTTTGGGACAGTTTTTCAACACAACGGGTTACATGACTAAATCAACACAATCCCCTTTCTGGAGTGGGTCAAGTTCAAGTTTTCTCTTAAATTTGTTTTTCTTTAAAATGCTGGAGGTTCTTTTAAGCCAGGGTCAATAAATATATTTGAAAGATTTCACAGGTACAACTCTGTAATATAGATTATTTGAATTTAGTTCATACTTTCAGTTTATTATTGCCTGTCTGCAATGCACTGGATAATGCTTTCAGGATTTCACTAATTTCCATTTTTAGTCATCAATAAATTTCTCTCTCATACATACACATTATATATTTTACTTTAAGTTCAAATATTTCAGTAGATACTCCATTTATTTTAAACAGTATGAGAAAACTTAAAGAAAATCTGTTCAGTAAGGTTTGAACGTGCATTCCACAATAATGCCAGGTCCTATTTTGCCTTTAAAGTGCACTCACTTGTTCAGATTTTTCTGTAAACACGTATCTGCTCATTTTCAGATCCAGAATGTAAACAAAGCAATTTCTAAAGAAATAATGGATTTTATTTTTTAATCCAACATGTGTGTTGGATTAAAAATCTAATTCTTTTATAATATATACATATGTGTGTGCATGTGTGTGTGTGTGTGTGTGTGTGTGTGTGAATTCAAATCAAATATGGCTTAGAGTCAGACAGATAAGCTAACTTTTCCTATATGATCCTTTTTTTTTTTTTTTCTGCCTATAATATGTAGAAAGTACATGCAATACCCTGCCCTCATTAGCCATCAACAAGGCAAGGTAACACAGTTTTGGTTGCTAAGGTGGTACTGCCACCCCTGGTGCTACCGGCAGCTTTTGCCACCGGACATGGTAAAGCAGGTTAGAGTTAAGGAAGAAGGTGGATAATTCTCTAAATTTAGAAAATTGATCAAGAAAGAAGAAATAGGCTACAACTAAAACCTTTATTTAAATTAATGAAAATTGGGAAATCACCAAATTCCCAGAACCCTTCAGCCCCATGCCAGTTTTGGGCTGAAGTGCATATAAGCAGATAACTTTAGGGAGATCATAGACTTTAGGCTGAGATTCCACATTGAATGCCTTTGAAATCCATACCAGCTGCCAACCAGAATTCCTGATTCTAAAACTTTAAACCCAGCCTTCCAGATGTTTAGACAAAGCCCCAATGTCATGAGAGAGATTGATGCAGGAAGGGTTCATTTTTGTTGTACCAAGAGCGCTATATAAACCAATTGAAGATTAACCCCTAGTTTAATTTTTTTGTCATGAAGGTTTTTTTTTTTCCTTAATATAGCACCTGCCATGGCTTGACCAGTGCTGCAAGACTCCAACCTTCAATCTTCTGCTCTGAGATCAAGAACACATGGACAGAGACCAACAACAAACTTGGATCAGTGTCAGCACAGAGTTAACCCCATAGTTAAAGCGTTGTCCTAAGACTGTGAGGACCAGACCACTAAATGAAGGTGGCAGTGGCAAAAGGGGTTACATTATTTGGTGCCAGTGACCAAGGATGTGACCGTCACAAGGGCGTCTTACATATTGATAATATTGATTAACACTCCAGAACTGGAAGCTATGATAATTTATCACAAATCTAAGCTCTGATAAGGTGTAAAACACTTTTTTTTTTTTTTTTACATCATTTCATGATATTTATACACACAAACACACTCCTAAAGAGGCAAGATACAACACAGTTATTTTTTTTTTTTTAATGTGGTAGATATTACATTGGTATGAAGGTCAAGAACAAAAATTCCTAGCTCCTTCAGTACTTCCCTTTGGGATGGCTTCAAGAATTGAAGAGGCACCCTGATTCTATTTCTCTTAGTACGATGTAAGATCAGCTTCCCTGGTGCTAGAAATGCAAATATTTGCCCTTCAAGCACAGAGATCAAAGGGATTTCATCCTACATGGCCATTAAATATAGACCAGCTGATGGAGGATTCATTCAATTTATGATAGTGAAAGGCTAGAATTCCTGAATATTTTGTGTGTAAGGGTGAATATTATATGTCTGAGAAAGAGCGAACGATTTACAGTATATATATATATATATATATATATATATATATACACACATAATAAATATAAGAGATTGAGTAAAAATCCACAGTTCATAGTATTTATTTTTTTTTAAAAAGTGCTCAATACAAAGTAGAGTAAAATATTATGTTTTTATTATAAGAGATTATAATAAAGATTTATTAGGAAAATTTTAAAAAATCATTACCGGTTTTCAGAAGTTAACGGTGATGGTATAAGGTTAGAATTAAAAATATACTAGTGGGTATGTCTCAATCAATTAAAAGTCAGATCTGCGGTAAAATAGAAACTTCCTGAATTTTTTTCTTTTAATTTTGTTTCTAATAATTTCATGTCTGATTAATCTCCCCGACTACTTCAACAAATGGGATCTTCATACTTGGCTACATGTATAACACATTTGTTGCTGCCATGTTTCTTACAATCATTGGATGACATACCCAAGTGTCAGTTTATCGTGACGTGAAAAAAATGTCTCACCTACCTTCACCCCCAGACCTTATTTTTCTATTTTAGCATAGATCTGACTTTTAATTGGTTAATCGAGATATAACCCACTAGTATATTTCTAAACCCGACCTTATGCTCCCACTTTAACTTCTGAAAAAAGGTAACTATTTGTTTTTAAATTTCCCTAATATATCATTTTTATCACAAGTTGCTTTAGGATGTACAATCATAGTACTGAAACATGAAAGCTTTTGTGTAGTGATGTAAAATGTTTTTATTATAATAAAAATATTAAGAATAATTTTATATATATACACACAGAAAATAAAATTTATTAATTTTCAGAATTACACTATTAATCCAAAATTATTTCATAACTTGTTTAAAGATTAATGATTTAAAATAAACAGCATAGTGGGTTAAAATAAACAGGGATTAAAATTAAACTTCAAACTTTATTATAAAACTTTTATTAGAAAAAGAAAGTGGGAAATGCAGATTGATATTTAATCAGACAATTACTGCACTTGTGATATTTATGCAAAATACTGGGAAAGTCATTTTAATGTCATTTTTTTCTTCATTTTTATTTACTTTTCCAACATACTCTTTTTTTTCCCAGGGATAACAACTGACTCATAGCTATTGTGAAATCTAATAAGAGTCCATTTGGTATCAGTTATCTTTAAAACAGTCCTCCGTTCTGCCTAAGGCCTACACTGAAACTCTAGCCTTATCGAAAGCTGAGAGAGTCATGAAAAACTAAATTGTGCATACTCACAATATAGAGGAATAGCTCAGTGTGTGTGTGTGAGTGCTCTCTGTTGAAAGGAGAGAGAAAAAGGCAACCCCTTCATACAAACTAATGTGAACTGGTTTTTTTGTTTGTTTTTTTTTTTTCATAACTATTCTGGCCTATATCCATTCATGTGAAATACAGTCTCTTCCCTCCTGCAACCACACCAAAAGATTTAAAATTAAAATTCCTTTCAGCTATGATGATGATGAGAAAGAGGAGAGTGGTGCTATACACACACACACACACACACACATATATATATACATATATATATATATGTGTGTGTGTATGCACACAAAGAGAATTATAATAGATTTTGGTACTTCCATTTAAAAGAGACTAAATTTATAGAGATAAATATTTTGAAAATAACAATAATTAAGAGATTAATAATCCAGCAAAATTACTTAAAATAAATATTAATTTTTGTCATATCTGTAAAAAAATGTACAGTTGGTTGTTTTGTTTAGCGGCATATCAACCTTAGAGTTATTTAATGCTAAAATTTAAATATTTTGTATGTAATTTTATTTTTGAGGGAGATAACGGGTCCAGTAATACAAGTTTTACTAATTAAACCATAGATGGAGGAGAAGAGATGGATTCATACCTTTCCCCAAGTGTATTTGCGTGTAAACGATTATAACGAACCCAACTGAAACTAGAACTCTGCTCTCCAATTAACAATTCAGAGTCATTATCCGTTACACCAGCCACATATCCAAGCTTACAGCACCTGGTATTCCCAAGCAGTTACCCATCTAGGTAGTGATCAGGCTCAGTGTTGCTTAACTTTGTTGATCACACAGGAACCGGCATTTCAATGTGATGCATCCCAAAAATGTATATAGTTTCTCTTAATATCTCTCAAGTCCCCTGAATTCCCACTGTGGAGTACAAGGCCACATCCGCAGCATGCTCGGCATGGCTACTGGTGGTTTCAATAATAAGTAGGTTTTTCAGGAGATGGAGTTGCTAACCTGGTGACCAACTGATGTTAAATTTACAGTTATCCTTCTTCTTAAGGGGATTCCAATGAAGAATAAAGAAAAAAAAATGTCTTACTATTTAACCCATAGCTGAGGGAGAAGAGTTGGATTCATCCCTTTCATGAGTATTTGCCTGAAAGTGGACATAATAAACTTGGCCAGAATTTGAACTCAGTTCACCAATTTATCATTCCAAGATGCTAACCACTACACCACTGACCATAAATATTAATGTTTATTCATATTTACTTTTCTATGGCTTGCAGAAAACTTTACACTCACAAAAATATGATTCTATCAGAGATAGCCTTAATATACATGAATTCATAATTACATGGGGAAAAAAAAATGGTGATTTAATAAAGTCAGTTTTGACAAAGTTAAAATATATTCGTCTGGTAATAATTACTGATTATTTAGCTTCTTCTATAGTTGTTAAATTGCAAAGTAAAACAAAAAAAAGATTTGAATAGAATGAAAAAGAGAAAAAACCTTTCTGAAATGGAAAAATCAAGGGAAGTATTCATAAATTGATAAAAATTTAGATGTGCAAGGAAATGTTTTCCTTTAACGCAAGCCAAAGTATTTGCCCACACAAAATCTCATTAAACAAGATCTTGAATTAAATAACATGAAATCGTAAAACATGACATGTGAGAAAATACAATATAAATTTATGCACTTCATTAAAAGAAACTGCATCACTTATCAAATATTTAAAAAATGCCATTTTATGGCTATGGGTGTCTTACAGAACTCTGAGGGTTTATAAAAATTAGGCTTTCTACCCTTACCCAGATCATAGTCATGAGAGTTTATTTAAAAAATAATAATAATAATCGTTCAGCAAAGTTCAAAAATTAAAAAAAGTGCTTTTTAAAGAGATTTACTGGAAATTAAAATAAAGAGCATTAAAGTGATTTTCAGCTTTGCTACACTTACCCAGTAAGAATTGTAAAAGGAGGAAAAATAGCAGAAGTTAGTTAGGCTGTCAGAAAGCCCACTTTTTTTTTTAAGCCTTGCCGAAAAATAATCTGTTTCCCATGTTCCATAACTGACCTGCATAATGAATAAACCAAAAACGAAGTGCAGCATAATATGTTAGGGTACATCAGAATTTTTTTTTTTTTTTTTCCAGTGAGAAACCACTCCACTATATTTCCCAAGAATTCCTGGCAATTCAAAGCTAAATAAAAAAAATCTGTGAAGAGCCATAATACCCTACATCCTGAATGGACAGACATGTCATTAAAAAAGAAAACAAATGGATAATGGAAAAGTGATTGAAGTCGAGATGCCATATCAGAACCAATAACACTGCAGATTCTTCTTTCAGAATCCATACATTTTAATCTTTTAGTGTAATTCAACTTTTTTTTTCTTTTTTAGGAGAGTGACCAAAATTTAAATACTAAATGACTAAGAGATGTGTCTTGAGAGATGGGAGAGATTGAAGGATGGGTGAGAGAGAGAGAGAGAGAGAGATAATGAGAGAACACAAAAGAGAGAGAGAGAGAGAGATTGTCATCTTTGGTTGGTTCTTACAAGATTCCTTTAACTAGTAAACAAAGACAAGGAGTGCCCACACCAAATCCAAACTTAGTTCCTACCCCCCTGTTACTCTTAAAATAATCTAGTCTTGTCTTTTTAGTCTCCTGTTTCCTTAGGTCTAACCTCCCACTTAGAGTCTGCAGGCTTCTGTTCCCAAAGTCAGTCACAGGTTTTCAAAAACAAGGAATAGTGAAAGAGGATCTGGCCTCTCAGAAGAAATTGAGATGCTTGCCAAGTGTGGGAATTATATAGAATTGCCTACAAATGGGGAATGGAAAGGAGGCATTCAGTAGAAAAAGAGACATTTCAAATTGGAGTTGGCAAAGAAAAATAAGAGAAAGGAAGAAATTTATATTACAATATTATTTAACACTAGTAGGAGGAAGATAGGTTTTTTTTTTTTTCCTTTGGCTTTTTAATCATGACACTGTAACAAACATGTGGAATTTGAAAATGAAGTCAGAGTATCACTTAAATGAAGTCAGAGTATCACTTAAATGAAGTCAGAGTATCACTTAAATGAAGTCAGAGTATCACTTAAATGAAGTCAGAGTATCACTTAAATGAAGTCAGAGTATCACTTAAAAAAGCAAAAATAAAATTAAAACTAATAAGAAAATAATATTAAATGTGTGCAATAGTTGTATTTTTTTTTTATATTTAAAAATATATGGGGAACTTTTGCT